TCATATTCCTCTCCTTTCAAACTATCCAGAAGATAGAGAGCGTTATTATGCCCCCTTGTTTCTGCCGGCCATAAATCCCTTCCACGCCCAAATTTCTTCCTTCACTGAACCTGTCATCACCCAGCTAATGCCGAACAGCTCTTGCACTCTCCAATTTTAACAATTAGATTTTGAAGTGTGATTCTCCTAAGCTCGTGTATTGATATATTACTCTCTGTTTGCAAGTGTGCAGTATGAGAGGGGACATTAAAATTGCTTAATTCACCAGTACTAGCTAAAGAGCGCTAGTACAAAGCCAGCACACATTGAGAATGTAGAGCGAGTAGGACTTTTATGGTGTTAGATGCCCCATCGAAGGTATGGACTTTGGGGTGGGTTCTTTCTGAGTTTGGACTGTCTAACCTTAAAAGCTAGTCTTGGGTCTCCCAAACTCTTATCAAATTTTAACTTGTAATGCATAGCCAATTTGTCTCTGATGAAATTAAAGAAGTCATCAAATTTCTGTTTGATAATAGATGAATCAAAACTTCTGATGATGCAGTTTAATATTGTTCCATGTTTTTGAAGATTTAACTGTGATGTAGGGATGGAAAAGCTTTTATGTACAGAAGCACAATGAGATGGCTTTTAGAGCTGGGAACTTAATCAAGTTTGTTGAACAATGTATGGTATCAGATTCACTTGCAGTTGGTGACTATCTAAAAGCAATTGAAGAGCTGAGCTCAATGCAACTTGGTTATAAAGATGTAGAGATCCTTCTGTTAAAGCCAAATCTGAGTGTATTCCTTAATTTGATTGGATTGCACTACTGCATTAATTGGCTTGGAGTACCGGTAAATAATACTTTTACCCTGTCTATTTTGTCTTTTTTTGGATTTGATTTTTTCTTTGGGAGAAGAAAGAGGCTTTTAGAATCATTACAGTATAAATAATATATTAGACTATTTCTTTTTAGTTTAAACTTTTAGAATAATAAATTACTATCAGTTATTTGATATAATATACTGAAAGGTTTAGGGTTTGGATCTTGGATTTCGATCTTTCTAAAACTAATTTTAACACAAGACATGACGGGATTGTGCAAATTCATGAAATGAATTAATCCTGTCTTTTTGGAAGGAAATGTGTATCAAAGATTTGGAAAGGTATGACTGTTTAAGAGCGTTCATCTATGGCTGGTGAGCAATCAGCAGTCTGCTATTTGGCAGTGCTCTAGCCTAGCTCAACAGTCAACACTCCAACGAGAGAAAATAAGCATACATGTGATCGGCCTTAACCTTATGCACAGAATAAACTAGTCAGCTAAATTTCAATGATAGTGCACCTGGTTGTCTATGCATGTTAAAGCTGGCCTTAATGTTTCATAGCCAGCATAATAAAGGGCATCTCTTGAGTGCTGGCTAAAAGTTTTTTATGCCAATATTCAAATTATTTCCCATTACAAGAAATCTCATATATACTAAATAATTTACATATTTGCAGGCTCAGTATATGGCAGAATCTCTTCAGACTTGCAAGATTTCCGAGCGCCAAGTGCACGTTAAGTGGTGGAAGCTTGGCAGATGGTTCTATGGCTTTCGTATGCGGGACGAGTCCCATTCTCGCTTGGTATCTCTAGAAGATCTTGCAACTGCAAAAGAAGCAGAGGTTCTGTGGGTACTTCAGCGTGGCGCGATTCATGAAGTTCTACAAGTTCAGATCTCTACTGCTAATTCCAGCATTCACCACTCTTGCCAAGGCTTGCTAGGACTGCGTTAGGAAATGCAAAAATAATGTGTGCGTGATGCATGTATATAATGTTTATATCATGTTATGGTTTTGCATAATTCATGGTCAGTACTTCTACTTGCACATAAGAATAAGGTCTGACACTCACACTTGTAGCAAGAGCCTAGTCTGTGCTATGCTTTTAAGATAATAATTCCACGCCGATTGAGAATGTTCCTCAATAGAAACCGCTTCCTGTTTGTAAAGCTTTATTGCTGCTTGTATATAGACAAGATATATTTGTATTTTGCAAATAGTAATTCCTTGGTTGTGTGATTACATATATAATGGGATATATCTGTAATAGCCCAAAACTAAAGTATTGCTGAGTTCCATATGAAGAATTAAATTATTTATCAGTGAAATTTTGAGTTCAAGCTTGTGACAAAGTTAATAGTTTGCACTTGAAAAACTGTTGGCCTAGTAATCTTCAGTACCCAGACTGTACTGTTGCAATCTTGAATTTTGTAGCTCGTTCGATTGTAATAGAGGAATTTAATAAAGACATCAAAATTTGAAAATATAAGACATGACTAATATTTTAATTTCATATTAAAAGATATGATTGTTGAATTCAACATACATGAAGATTTCAACTTATAATATTATTTAAATTTAGTTGTGTTCTTGTTCATATAAATTTCTCAACCGAATCGATATGGACATAGTGCTCAAGGTTGACCAAAGAAAATCTAGAGATGCAAAAAAAAAAAAAAAAAAAAAAGAAAAGATAGCTCAATAATAAAGCGAAACAGGAATAAACAGATCCATGTTGTGTATTTCAGCTCCAAGGATGATCAAATGAGCCGCAATAATTCACAATCCAAGATCCTTCCAACCGTAAAAATTAAATAATTTTGATTTTTTGCAAAGACATGAACGAAGAGGAAAAGCTTAACGAATCCTTGTAGGGTGCCATTCCCATCATGCAAGGCTCACTCCTGCATGCATTTTGTTGCAGGAAAAACAAACAGATGAGTGATTTTGTTGAAGCTCAGCAGCAACGATAAACAACAACGCGTCGTCGTGGAGGAGGCATACAGACAGCCATGAGGACGAGGGCTATGACAACAACGATGAGGATGCCCGTGAGATCTATACCGTCTTCACCAGAGTCCAGGCAACACACCTTCCCCATCTCAGCTACAGCTTGTTAAAACTCTCTCTGCCTCACTAACTTCTTTCTTTGTTGGTTTGGAGAGAAGTAAAGACTTGCTAGAAATATGAAGAAATAGAAAAACGGATCTCTAGAGAGTCAAGTTGACCTGCAATCGTTTATTTGGTTCATCTAGGAAGCTTCAGCTTAACTACTAAATTAAACTATTCCCTCTTGAATAATATACATCTATATATAATTACTATATTAATCTGCATGTACCTAACAAGGAATATTTTTATTTTTAAAATTTTTATGGGAAAAAACAATGGTTAATAAATAAAAATAAAAGAGTGGCATTGTTGAAAATATTGTGGTTCTTTAAGAGATTTTCGAACTTATAAAATGTTTTTCCTTTTTAAGATATTTTAGCAGCTTAACAAAAAACTTTAAAAATATATTAATTTTTCTTTTACATGGTTAGTAAAAGTAGAACTTATATGCTCTAAATATTAAAAATACTTCTTGACATTAAGTTTATTTTGGTCTTCTACTTGTCAACACCTGCATTTTTCATTGAACTTTCAGACTCCTCATAGTCAAATCTAGACGTCTTAACGTGCTTGAAAAAAGAAATTTCCACCTTAGGAGGAAGTTTTATTTATAGTCAAGGTAGGCTTCTAGATTGTTACAGTTAGAAGACTGTTTCAGTTCCAAGCCAGGATGGAAAAAAGAAACATGTGAATGCAGAAACTAGAGTTTAACACCCTTATAGAGACAACATATATTAGTCTCTCTGATAACGCTTCTTCACCAACTGTACTCTTAAATGATCAACTTGATTATTCAAAATACTACTTGTCTATTCGTAATTTATTGATTTATATATAATATTGCAACCCACCATTTAAACAATAAAGATTTTTCAACCTCCAGCCGACCACATTTGCCTCACTATTCAATGATTTATACACAATCAACAATCTGTTAAGTTACTGATTAGTTAATGCATCAAACTGCAAAGACTGTGGAATCTGATTTGCGTTCTTTATCAATAATCAAAAACCTAACTAGCCCTTTTAGTTCAGTTCCTATCTTATTTATCTACTTAATATTAATATATCATTAACAAGTAAACTAAATGTTATAGCTTTTAACTTCTAATAAATTTAACTCCTAATTTAAATTCATTGGAAATGAATCTTTTTTCGTCAGTGACTCCCTGAAATATGATTCAGCAGAAATTTAACTAGATGAGTGAGTAAAGATACCTAACTTTTATATCATCACCATATTGTTAGGTTTCCATTTGGAAACTGCTCAAGAGCTCACATCAGAAATATTTTTGGTGCCAAATATCTCCACAATGATTTTGGTCAATCAGGCAGTTATCTTAAACGTTTGCCTGAGTATAGTGCTTTGCATTTTACTTGTGACTTTCCAACATTGGAACCAAGTATTTAACAAATTTAATAAAACAAATACCAGGAGATGTCAGCAGCATCTTCGTTCAGCATTCCCTATTCTTCCATGGAGATGGAATTTCTTTGCACAGAATTCCAGTCCATCCAATGGTTAACTTAAACTCAGCAGCTAGTCAGTAACTGCAAGACAATGAGCAAAACTAGGATATTTTGGTTCCCACCCTATCTCTTGACGAGTTTTAAAGTTATTCAACTTCTTCCCTAGTGGACCATCAGTGCCTGCAAATCGAAGGCCTATGAGTTCACAGTAGCCTCATGGACACTTTCCAGAAAGAAAAAAATAAGGGAAAGGACAGATCTAGCAATTAAAGGAAACAAAAGAGGAAAAAAAATTACAGCTCAAACATCCAACATTGATAAGTAAAGAAATAACTATTCATGTTGACAGAAAAAAAAAAAAGTGAATCACAGATGATTTTAATTTGTTTATGTATTTACTACAGATCAGAAAGAAGCTCACCTGTGAAGCCCTCAAACTTCTTACTGAATTTCCCACTTTTATTGACCAACTCCATCATCTCCTGCCTGCAAAGAAACATAGAAGGTAACAGAAAGTAATGCAGATAAAAAGTCTCAACCTAAGAGCTTCATGCTTTTTCCATATCTAACAGTTTATGAACCTAATAGAAATAAAAAAGTTTATATGGAAAACACAAGCTGTTAAAAATTAACATAGGAAACATTTACGAGGAAGATCTGGATAAGTAATATCATCCATCAGCCATATAAAAGAAGACAACCTAGATAAAGGATGGTTATCACAGCCCAAGAAAATGTGGCTACGCAGCTTCTTCTTCAAGACTGCAACTGCAAGGGAAGCTGCATCCTGTTACAGGAGTAGTAAGTCAAATCAACAACAGTCTACAGTTATAAAACATGTTATACAACTTCAATTATTTCAGAAAGGGAAGATTTCACTGGTTCACATTATAATTAAAACAAGATAACAAGAAAGAGAGAGCCTGTAGGATCTTTTTCTAGATAAATTGAAAGGTCCAATAGTCAAAAAGAATATATATATAAATACAGTGCCAAGACAGCAGATAAACATAGAAATAAAAAAAAAATCACCTCATAATGTATAAGATTCAAGATGTAATCTGGCCGACCATCGACAGTCCCCTTCTCTAAGTAATAGTTATGAGCACCTCTATCTGCTTTGTGTAAAATGTTAAAGGCTACTACTGCTTATAACATTCATAAGTCATAACCACCAGCAGTCCATGAATTTCACTTAATAAAACATAAATATAGGTATATCTTTATCCATACATCACAAATATATTTATCGATAGATAGGGATGATTTTGGTTGGTTCATAAACCACTTAATAAACTTGTAATATATATTTTGTACATGGGTGGTACCTTTTTGGACCCTTTATGAATAATATTTCTTGTCTTATATTTAAAATATATATATATTTATCAATAGATAAAGCCATAAAGGATATGTAAAGCCCCACCAATCTAAGGACACAACCGCCAGATTCTACAACTACTTCTTCTGCCTTCAGAATAACATCTGTCCTAGGGCTCCTCCCAAGTGGCACTATTGGACCGTCCTGCATACATGCTAAATCACTTTAGATCCAGGATGATTGTTAGTGTGAAACTAGGAAACGGAGCAAATGGTGAAATAGATTTGGTATGTCATCACTGCATATCCACAAGACAAGCCCATATGATAACATGGAGAAAGAAAGCTAAAAAAAAAACAGACAAGAACTATTACAATTACAAACACGATTATGTTTGATGAAAAACCTCATCACATTCTCCATTATCATTGCGATCATATACTGCAGCGCTTGATGTAAACAGGAAAGAACCTTCACCATTCCAATTCAATGCAGCCATCCTGCTTGATTCAAGCACCACAATAAAAGCATAAATTGAGAAAAAATGGATGATATGATTAAATTGTAGATTCCTTTTTTTCAGTCTTTATATGCACCATGTAATTCTTGAGAAAATGAGTTTGGCTATCCACATAAGGTTAGTCTAGGAGAAGAATGCAGAGGCTCCACCAATATAACAATCAATTTACAGTATAAAAAAGAATTATAACCACTTCCAGAAAACTGTTCACATATAATAATTGATTGAGCTCTTTCAAACAAGAACCACTTATTTCTTTATGGTATCAGAACCGATATGTAGTATTTGAAGCCGAGCCGTCTTTTCCTGTTTTGAATTTCATACAAAATATCACAACTTTATACTTGATATGTGATTGTAGTCCGATGGAATTGTGCGTGAGGAGTGTGTTAAGGTATAAATAATAAATTTAGTTCTTCCAAATGAGTTTAAGTTTTTAAGATAATTATTAATTATTCATTATTTCATATAAACAATTGATATAGTTTAATAGACATGACATCAACAAGCAGTAATGTGGTCCATCAATTAACTTCATATGCCTAACTAGCACCAAAACATTTTTCAAACTACAGCTGTGTCCATAATGTGTCTAGAAGACAAAACAATTCCAGAATCTTGGATGCACAATTTCTTATTACCTGACGTCGTCAGGGTAATCCAGTGTTCGCGATGGAGGAGCACAAAAAATTACATATGGAACCTTTTGAGTTCGCTGTGTCTCTCTCAAAGATGGATTAATCCCAAGTTTTATCAGCTCCTCATGGTGGTCCATCGTCATTGTCTGACCATAAATTTGACAGCACGGATGTTCCTGTTTTATATACATCCTACAACTTCAGCTGCATATACATATTCCATAATTTATCCATATAATCTCGGGCATTAATGCCAAACACTATCAAGCAGTTTCCTCATGCCCTCCTCACAGCAAAGATTATACCGAGACCAAAATATCCAATTACAGTGACCAACTAAAACAAGTATCATCAGCAAATACTTTATACAGTTTTTAGCAAGATAAGATCCAAATTGACCAATGAATTCTTCAAAAAATGCATAAAGCTGCACATCCGAATAGAATTAGACATAATTAATCAAAAACTGCACATTGAACCACAACTGATCATTGTAAAGCAAGTAAACCAGTCAATTACAGAGAATGAGGCATTGACAGAACTACAGTTAACCAAGCATTACCTCTCTCCATTTTTCAGCAACTAGGCGACCAAGAACCCCTGGACCAACAATTAGGAGATCATGCTCTCCAACCAAGCCCGAAGACCCGACCTCCAATCCCTCATCTGCTGCACCTTAAAACCAGAGCAACAAACCACATCAACACCGGATAATCACAAGCATATGAAATATACGTGCACGTGTGAGTGTGTGTACATATATACATCTAGATAGAGACCAATGGTGGAGGATGCAGAAACTCGAAGGGGAGTTTCCATTGACAATGACAACGGTGAGAGCTTTATCTTGTTGATAAAATGGCGTTTGAAGATTCGGTGTTTCGACACTGAGGAAGATAAAGTAGAAGGTTGTGAGAAATGGAGAGCGAGTATTCGAGGTCTAATTGTTGGAAGGACGGGAAACGAAGCACCGGCCATTAACGAATTAAACGGCTAAAGAGAGGGAAAGCGAATCAGTAAATGTTTGCATGAATTAAATTGTCTGGAACAAGAAGGAATTTGCAGAGGATTTCATGGAAGATGGAGATTTCCTTTGGGGTTCAGTTATGGAGGTTTCTCTATAAACCAATCTAGACATTACACGCTGCTAACGGATAGACTTTACAGACGGGGATGAAAATGGGCCGGCCACCTGTGAGCTCGGATCCCAACCCGACCCGGCCTGATATATCATCAATGAATGAGTGCTCTTTATCCAATCTAGTCCGGTCTAGATCCCTCTATTTCCGGACCAATGAACATCCTAAACAAAAGACCAGCTAGCTATGTGATATTAAGATTGAGAGTTTTTACTCATTTAAAATCCAACTTTATTAATGATTTGTTCATATTATGTTAAATTAATCTAGTTCACCAACTAAATAGATGTTTGGAGTGACTGTAATTTATAACATAAATTTAAAAAAGAACTATTAAAATAATTATTGATTAAAAATATTTTTAATCAAAATTTATTTAATATTTAATAAAAATAAATAAATAAAGTATTATTTTTTTGAAAAAAAAAATATATGTTTAATAAAAATAAAATCTATAATTTTTATAAATATTAAAATTATATTTTAAAAGTCATAAACTGTACCTTTTAATTTTTTTATTAAAGTTACTTTTAATTAATAATTATTTTAATAATACTTAAATTTATAACATAAATTATAATCACTTTAAATATTTATTTAATTCCTATATTAGATTAATTTAATATAATATACTGTTGTAGCTTTTGATTTTAAGCATACTAAAAACATATATTTACTTTACATTTTACTAATTTGATTAAAAACCCACTAACTTTTTTATATATAATTTCTAATAAACATTTTTATTTTAGTCTAGCACAACAAATGAACTCTTACACCATGTATAATATGTAACACCCTAATTTTATTTTTATTATTATTATTGAAATTATTATAATTTTAATTTATTTCAATTTTATTTTAATTGATTTATTTAAGTAGTAATATAATTGTTTTAATTTAGTTAATTTAATTTAATAGAAATAAAAATAATAATAATGATAAAAATGAGTAAAATTATTTTTGGGGTTTAATTGAAAATAATTTTGAAAAAAATGGGTAAAATTCGGATTAGAATGGTGTTTTTGAAAAGAAAATCAGAAACCGGAGGTCAAAACGCAATTTAAAAAAATTGAGCCACGTCAGCAGCCCGGTCAGCAGCTCCAGCCAACCAGAACACGCTGCGTGGCAGAGACGCTAACACAGGAAGGCCACGCAGAACGGGCCACGGGGGCAATCCGCGTGCGCGCAATCGAACGGCTGAGATCCGTTCTCGCGCGCATGGACGGCCCATATCAAACTCGCGCGTGGACAGCCCAGATTGCACATGTGAGAATGGCTCAGATTGAATCACGCATGGACGGTCCAGATTGCATCGCGATGGACGGTTCAGATTTATTTCTAATTTAATCACGATCGGACGGCGCAGATTAAATCGTGATAGACGGCTCAGATTAAAAGGGGAATGTTATAAATAATCTCATCCACACCCAACCCCAAACCCTAGCCGCCAGAGCCCTCGCCGGAGAAGACAGCCCAGCCACCGGAGGAATCGACCGCCGCCACCCGCCACCGCACCGGAGCACTTTTCGGCCGCCAAACAAGGTAAAATTTCTCCCCTTAGCTCAATTTTCGATGCTGAACCCACCTGTGGAAAAATCGGAGCCAAACCACCGGCCAATTGGCCGAAAAACACCGCCGAAGCCCAGCGGCGCCGCAACGGGTTTCCTCAATTTTTGCCTCCGATGAGGCCCTTCCCGATTCTCGTTTGGTGTAATTTTTACACCACTGTGACCACCGTCCTTTCCTCTACAGGTTGACCGAAGCAAAACATCAAATCGCGACTCGCACTAGAGGAGCTACCGCACCCGAGAGCTCCGCCGCAGGTAAGTCTCAGCTTTTTGAGTTTTTTTAGCTCATCGAGGGCCTTACGTGTGTTTTCTCGCAGAAACTGGTGCTAGTTTGGCTGAATTCGACTGGAAACGGTCGAAAACAGCCAACCCGAGGCGGATCACCGCCGTGGGCGATGGCGCCGACGCCGAAGCACGGCAGATTGCCGCCGTGGGCGGCGGTGCCGACGCCGGAGCACGGCAGAGCCGCCATGCTGGAATTCTGAAATTGGCCGAATATGCCATGGGTCTGATTTGGGGTTTTTTGGGGACATGTACAGGTACTGGAAGTGTGTTTCAGCTTCCGGAGAAAAATTCAGAGAATCTAGGGACTGCCCGTAGGCGCAGTGAGAACCCGATTTCAGACTCCGAAATAAGTAAGGATCTCTCACCCTATTTCCTATCACGGTATTAAAGTCTAATAAATGATAAAACGGTATTTTTATGAATTCATGGATATGTATAATTAATTAAGGTTGCTAATGGAGCCCGAATCTGATATGTTTTTTGTCAGTTCCTGTTTGATTTATTTTACAGTCTAAATACAGTGTAGTATCTAATTTGTTCATTTTGTGGCTTCGTATGCATGATTCACTGTTTAATTTATTATGGTTTGATTATTGTGAACCCGATGTTATGTTTGCCTTATTTGGTATTCGTTACTAGTTTACGCACTCATGTTTGATTGGGTAATTGAGACTAAGAACAAATAGGAATGGGATTGAGTTGATAAATGGATAGGTTAACAACCTCACTAGACATCCTGGGAGATGGTGGACAGACCGGGTCTATAGGGGGACCCTACTGGGAATGTTGTCTCTCATACTGGACGGGGTATGAAGACTTTAAATATTTTGGCGCTCATACCGGACGGGGTATAGGGACGGCCCGCTTCACCTTCATACCGGACGGGGTATTGAGGTTTATTGTTTTGGAGCCCATACCAGACGGGGTATGGGGACGGCCCTAGAATTAAATTGTTAAAATGAATGGTTCAGTATGGCGGATACCCCCTATGGATCCCCATAAAACTGGTAGGCTGGTTAAA